TAGTCCCAGCTACTTGGGGGTCTGAAGCAAGAGGATCGCTTGAGCTCATGAGTTGGAGGCTGCGATGAGCCATGATAGTACCACTGCACTCTAGCCTGGGGGACAGAGCAAAACCCTGTCTCTAAATAAATAAGCATTGTGAAGATCCTTATTTAAGCAATGATAACAAAGGAGAAAATACCTTCCGTTGTCAAACTGTGGAAGAGAAAAATCATTTTTTAAGAGACCATTCTATATTATTTTTCAATAAATAATGAAGGCATATTATTAAAGAAACTCAGAGTATCTTCTTCCTAAAGCTAAACAAACATGGTTTAGATACTTTATTTTCTAGCACATTCTTAAGACCTGATGGTATGCCAATTACAAGTGTAGAAATACATTAAGTATAGAAGCGATGAAAATATATGGAATCTTGTCCAATAAAGGATGCTTTTTTTTAACCCCTCTGCTTTTGCTACAATTATGTGTAAATGAAGTTTCTACAACTGGCACAAATGAGAGATGAGTTGTGTGTGAGAAACCAACTTCTTGGAAAGAAAAGAGAAATATGCAAATATGGGGGAAAGAAGGCTGGTTAACGTAAGAACTGAGACAGAAGTGAAAATTATGCATCGTAACTGAGGCTCGTTAACCTAGTGCATGCAATATTAGAGCAATTATTTTGTTTGTAACTGGAATCTTAAATATAATGAAAAAATGATCAGTCAGCTTATCCATCATTAAAAAACATTTTACCACGTGCAAAAAAGCCCTGGAATTAAACCTTATCTTACAATCCATGCAAGCATCAACTTATAATAGATGAAAGACTTAAATGTAAAAGGGGACAATCTTCATAGCCTTGGTTTTAGCAATGATTTCTTTCATAGACACCAAAGCACAGGAAACAAAAGCAAAAATAGACAAGTGATACTACATCAAACTAAAAAGCTTCTGTACGGCAAAGGAAACAATCAACAGAGTAGAATGGTAGCCTATAAAATGGGGGAAAATATTTGCAAGCCATATATCTGTCAAGGGATTAGTATTTAAAATGTATAAGGAACTCCTAAGTTCAAGAGAAAAAATATTTGATAACCTGACTTAAAAATGGGCAAAATACTTGAGTACATTTCTCTAAAGAAAACATGCAAATAGTCAACAGATATATAAAAATATACTCATCACTAATCATTAGGGAAGTGAAAATCAAAACCACAATGAGATATCACCTAATACCTGTTAGGATGGTCATTATTTTTTTTAAAAAAGATAACAAGGGTAGGTGAGGATGTTGAGATATTGTAACACTATTGGTGGGAATGTAAAATGCAGCAGCCACTATGGAAAAGAGTATAGTGGTTTCTCAAAAAAATTAAAAACATAATTACTATATCATCCAGCAATCTTACTTCTGGGTTTATAACCAAAGAAATTGAAGATAGGTTCTTGACTGAGAAACAAACTTTTGCTGGGCACGGTGACTCACGCCTGTAATCCCAGCACTTTGGGAGGCCAATCCTCAAGGAGGATTACTTGAGCCTAGGAATTGGAGACCAGCCTTGGCAACATAGCAAGTTCTCATTGCTCTAGACATGGTGGAGCACACCTGTAGTCCTGGCTGCTCAGGAAGCTGAGGCAGAAAGATTGCCTGAGCCCAGGAGGTTGAGGCTGCAGTGAGTCATGATAGTACACTCTGGGCAACAGAGTGAGACCCCAACTTGAAGCGATATCTGCATTCTCATGTTCATTGCAGCATTACTCACAATAGCTAAGAAGTGGAAGCAACCTACATGTCCATCAAAGGATGAATAGAAAAAGCGTGACACACACACACACACACACACATACACATACCCCATGGAATATTTTTCAGCTAGAAAAAAGAAGAAAGTCCTGTCATATGCTACAACGTATATGAACCTTGAGGACATCATGCTAAGTGAAATAAGCCCGTCATACTGATTCCACTTGTGCGAGGGACCTGGAATAGTCAAACTCATAGAAACAGAAAGTAGATGGTGGTTGAGGAGGAGATAAAGAGTTGCTGCTCAATGGGTATCGAGTTTCAGTAATGCAAGATGAAGAAGCTCTAGAATCTTCTTTACAACATGGTACTTATTGTTAACAATACTCTGCTGTACACTTAAAAACTTGTCAAGAGGGAAGATCTTAGATGGCAGTGTTCATATAGCTTGAGTTGTTGATTACACATGGTACGTAAGATAAACATAGTAGAAACACCTACCTGTTAAATTAAATGTATGGGTTCATATAGGAGGTGGGACCCCCAAAATGGAATTTATTTATTAAAAATTGTGAAATTAGCCGGGCTCGGTGGCTCAGCCTGTAATCCCACGCCTTTGGGAGACTGAGGTGAGTGGATTGCCTGAGCCCACCGGTTCGAGACCCGCCTGGGCAGCAAGACCTCATCTCTACAATAAATCAAAAAATCAACCGGGCATGGTAGCGCATGCCTGTAATTCCGGCTACTTGGAAGGCTGAGGCGGAAGGATCACTAGAGCCCAGCAGGTCGAGGCTGCGGTGGCCGGGAGCGGCCACTGCACTTCAGTCTGGGCGACCAAGTGAGACTCCAACTCAAAAAAAAAAAAAAATTGTGAAATTGTGTATTCTTACATATATAAACTTCAACCACCTTCAAAGTACTCTTCGTTTGATATAGTACACCTGTAAAGACACTTTTTCCACTGCTCAAAACAGCTTTTGAACTCGTCTATTTGGATGCATTTTAGTGCTTCTGCAGTTTTTTTGTTTCACCTCTTCCACACAGTCAAAATGTTTCTTTTTGAGGACTTTTTTTAATCCAGGGAAATAAAAGAAAAAGTCACCCAGGGCGAGATGGAGTGCTTAGGGTGAGTGGGCACAGAGGTCATGCTGTTTTGGGGGTCAAAAACTGCTGAACACTCAGCACGGTGTGGGCAGGTATGTGCAAAAATCACCCATCCTGAAATGGGCAAACATGCTGAAAGGAATCACCAAAGAAAAGTTCACTGAAGGCAAACGCAGCTTCTCACAACAATGCTAGCTGGTACACTGATGCCGATGGGATCCTAGAACACCCACCTAGCAGGGGAAGCTTGTACGACAAGGAGCCCACCCTCCAAAAGATCATTCCTTTTTTTTTTTTTTTTCATTTTGGGTCCCCCCTCATATGTTGGAATTTTTATGACATGGATTTTTAAATGCTCTGGGTTAAAAAAAAAAAGAAAAGAAAAGAAAAAGATCATATCTTTTTTTTTTTTTCGAGTTGGAGTCTCACTCTGTTACCCAGAGTAGAGTGCAGTGGCCGCTCCCAGCCACCGCAGCCTCGACCTGCTGGGCTCCGGCAATCCTTCTGCCTCAGCCTTCCAAGTAGCTGGAACTACAGGCATGTGCTACCACGCCCAGCTAATTTTTTATTTATTGTAGAGATGAGGTCTCACCAAGTTGCCCGGGCGGGTCTCGAACCCCTGGGCTCAGGCAATTCACTCGCCTCGGGTTTCCAAAGTGCTGGGATTCTTTTGAAAAATGATTTCATTACTTGTCTGATCTCTAAGAGATAGAGACTTAGAGCTCCCTCTAGAGCTTGGTTTTATACCAAGTCAGAGCCATTTCTAGAGAAGAAACCAAGACTCTCCCTCCCAGACCTTGCTCCAGCTGACATTTCTCCCCATGGTGTTTTGAAGTCCACGGGTACCTGGGAAAGAATGCAGGGGAAGAAAGGAGGCTCCAGGACACCTCGTTTGTTTTACACAGGGAATAACCCTTCAAAGCTCACTGAAATTCAGAAAGGACCCTAAGGAAGGGATAGTGACCTCATGGACACTCTGCCTGACTTGGTGCTTCCCTCATGGACACTCTCTCACAGCCAAACTCTGGCACTCCTAGAAGAATCTCCTGTGTCCCTTTAGAAGATGTGGATGCAGGCCATTGCTTTGTTAAACTCTGGTGTGTCCACATGGGTCTGTGAGCTATGGTCACCATTTTTTCTTAGCTTTGGTCCCCTCCCCTACCTCAAGGAGGTAAATCCCACCCCCCCCCAATTTACTTTCTAAATAAACTTTGTTTGAAAACTTAAAAAAAAAAGAATTAAAAAAAAATGTAGATGCATATTCAGGTTTGAATTAGCTTTTAAGTCATTAAATAGCTTTTTCAAAAGATCTTTAGATTTACAGCAGAAACTTAAGCATTTCTCAGCAGGAGAATTGAATTTTTTTATTCCTTTAAAAATCTGAAGTGAAAACTGAAGTGGCATATTTTGATTTATTATTTTTTATCTTTTTGAGTTGGGGTCTCACTTTGTCACCCAGGCCGGTGTGTTCAGTGTTGTGTTCACAGCTTACCACCTCAGCCTCCTGAATAGCTGGGACTACAGGTGCATGGCACCACGCCTGGCTAATTTTTTTTTTTTTTGTAAAGACAAGGTCTCACTGTGTTGCCTAGGCCAGTCTCAAACTCCTGGACTCAAGCAATCCTCTCGCCTCAGACTCCCAAAGTGCTGGGATTACAGGCGTGAACCATCAAGCCATTGTGTCTGACCTTGTATTTTATTTTAAATGGAAACATTCAATATAATGAAACATTGCTTTTTAAAAGCATGTTATCACACAGCTTCATGGGGCCTGAAGAATTACACAATGGAGGGAAGCAGAAGTAAAAGTATTGGGATTACTGTACCATGGTGATTTCTTTTTAATTTTTATTTTTTGTTACTTGTGCAATGGACATGAGTAAAATTTCTCACCATTCAGGATAATCATCAACAGTGTTTAAGAGAAGAGGGGCCAATTTTAAGCACAGCACACGGTCATGTTTCCGTGTCCAGTGGAGCAGCCGCTTTGGACAGGTTTTGCCTTTGATTAGCAAGGAGGTTAATGTTGCTGTCCACTCTGGAGTGCTGGAGGGGAGTTTAATGTCACGCTTGGTTGCGCTCCTTTCTTTCATTGTCCAGGACTGCTGCGTAATTCTCTGCTCACTCATCACCCTCCTGTTTCTGCCCTGCCCCCATGTCTCCACAGATCATTTTGTGTTTCTCTCCGGTGGGTCACACGCTGAGAGTCAGAGCTCGGAAGTTCCCAGCCATAGTTAACTGCACGACTATTGACTGGTTCCATGCGTGGCCGCAGGAGGCTCTGGTCTCAGTCAGCAGGAGGTTCATTGAGGAAACCAAGGGAATTGAGGTAGGCTGTGTCAGCCTGAGTCTCTCTCACACACACACATGCACACACACGCACACACACACAAAATAACTTCCCCAAATCCTGAGTAGATAAGTACTTTCCAAAATAAACCTATCAGGTAGTTGTCCCTAATTGTTGAAGATGATAAAATCATCTATGAGTTTACAATCTAAGGAATAGAATGGTTGAACTTTCTTCTACCAGGCCAAGATGGGTGTGCACACACACGTGCGCACAGACATGCACACAGTACTAGAGCATGTTCTCATGCGTGCACGGACTCACCAGAAGGCCAGGATGATTACTTCCTGGATTATAGTGGTGCTTCCTGAATATACATTCTTTTAAGTCTGCAACAAAATCCGAAGCAAAAATATAGACACTTAGAGCCCTGAAATGCTTACTAAAATAAGTAAATAAAGTAAGCCAATTAATTGTGATTATTCTCATTATAGTTTTGACAGGTAAAATGTCAGCCCCCACAAATTCCAAAACCACTAGGTCAAATAATGTATCTGCTTATTTGTGTTATGGGTTTATGTTTTATGGGTTATGTTTGTCATTTCTTCATGATGAAATTGGTACCTCCTGTTACATTTTTAAATAGTTGTATGAAACAAACCACAAAAAACTGTATGCTTTTAGATTCGAAGGGGAAAAGAATGTAAATATGAGGTTATTATTTACATTTCCGAGATACAAAGTTTTATTTGTATCTAGTACCTTTCTGATGAGATAGTTTGCATAGGTAGTGATTGTGAACATTTCCCAGGGAACCTCATCTTCTCATTCCACTGAGTGATAAGGCAAAAGGTGCTCAGAATAGATCAGACATTGAAAGTGATTCCCAGAGCCAAAAACAGAATTGGGGATACATAAGGAATGATGTCTGTTCCCACTTAGAAGTTTATTATGAACAAGTACTACACTCTGTAGCCTCCTTTATGCAAAAGTCATCATTGCTGCTTTCCAAAGCAGTCCTTTTCCATTCTGTTTTATCTTTTGATGGTCAGGTCATTTGAAATCCACATGTATTTAATTTTTGTATGCAGCTAGCTTTATTGTTCATTTTACCATTTTTTTCTTTGCTTCTACTTTAAAAAAAGAAACATAGTGGTAAGCACACAAGCAAGCATTCACATATATATACAGAATTTTATAGGGGGAAACTTCTCCTTTTCTTAAAATGTTTGTTAATCTAATTATGAGTGCTAGACTGCTAGGAAAGACTGTCAGGCAACATCTAACTTGGAAGATATGTATAGAGCAGAGCCTTTAGGATATTTAACTACCTCTTCTCTTCTCTACACCCACACTTAAAACACTTCCACAAATAAATGAAAACAAGAAACAATCCCATCTAAAGTTCATAAGAAATATTTTATACTTTAAAATCTGGAAAATCATTAAATATGACAAATCATGGTCATCAATAGTAACACAGATTGTTAAAGCAATTGCCAAGTTCATTGCATTGCTGGAATTCGGTAGGGCATGATTTTGTCTTCTAACAGTCACAAGGAGGTTTCAAAATACTGCTGATTAGAGAGTCAGTATGTACCTTTTGATAGCAAATTCTGTTTTATATGGTTCATTTTACAGGCTAACTTGGTCAGGAAGAGAAGGGACCCATGTATTTTGTTTCTGAATGTTACTTTCTCAGATGGTAGGAATTAAGAGCCCAAAACGTGGTGTAAGTTGGTATAGTACTTTTTAAAGTTCCTTCCCATTGCTGCTCTGTGCAGACTTTCTTCTGTTCAGGTATGTGCCACTTTGAAAACAGTTACAGCGGAAGGAGTTTTGATCTGCAGTGACCATTGACATCTGCTGGATGAGGCGGGACTTGCAGCCTTCTGAGTCCAGAGGGCTCCTGGCAGGTGCTGAGCTCTGTCTCATGGTATCATGACGCCTCCTGTAGGACGCTGAGCGCCAAATGGGAATTTTAAAAGCTCTTTACCTTTTCTACTGATCTGAATGATGCCTAGAAACAAATTAGCCAGATGATTTCATTTCAGGGCAAGGTGCTTATTTCACTTTCCCACCTTCCTAATTTGTACCCAGGAGCCATAATTATAATTCAGAGTGCAGTGTGGCCACGTTCTTCTGAAAAATGGGTGGTGTTTTTTTTCCTGTTGAGGTCAAAAACAGCTTTAAAATTTTTTGAATGAGCACTAATTTGATCACTGTCTTGGTTTTAATTTCCACGATTAAGACTGAAAGTTATCCACGTAATTTAGGCACTTCTTAATTACTGACCTCATTTGCTGAGTGTAAGGTGCTTATACAAGGTGACCCCCTTTGGCCATAGAGAAAGAATTCATTAAAGGCAAGCAGTTTGGCACATGTTGACATATAATTTTCCACCAGTACACACTCAGCACCCATGGGTATGGGTTGCCTGCATCTAAATCGATGCTTGTAACATTTTTCTGTTACCTGATATTGAACAAAATGACAGCTGACCAAAACAGTTTGACTCTTAAGTATCACTTGGTATTTATGTGAAGACCTTGTGTCAACATACATGACTTCTCCTAGGAGATGTGGAACTAGAGAAAGAGGGAGGCACATAAAGAAAGAGAGAAGGAAAACTCCCCTGGATATCCCTGGGAATGGGGTTGAAATGCTGTGAGAAGTACATTGGAGAGAGAGTTGGGTAAAGACCTTCCTGATTAATGCATGAATTCTAGTTGGGAACCTTCAAGGAAAAAAGCAAGAGAAATTGGAGCATTAAAGGATAAGTGATGTGTTTACTTTTCAAGACAAAATAAATTATTGTTGCATCTGAAAACAGGACCAGATGGAAGGATAAATTATTGAATGAGAATGAAGTCTTGAGCTGTCTGATGAAGGGGTGAGATGTGTGTTGGATGTGTGCAGAATAAAACTCTGAGCAAGAGGCTGGGTGTGGTGGCTCACGCCTGTAATCCTAGTGCTTTGCAAGTGCGGCGGGAGGATCATTTGAGCTCAGCCTGGGCAACATAATGAGACCTTGTCTCTACAAAAAAATTAGCCAGGTTTGGTGGTGTGCACCTGTAATTCCAGCTATTCAGGAGGCTGAGGCAGAAGGATCACCTGAGCCCAGGAGGTCAAGGCTGTTGTGAGCCGTGATCATGCCACTGCACTCCAGCCTGGGCAACAGAGTGAAACCCTGACTAAAAAACAAATAACAACAAAATCTCTGAGCAAGGTGAAAGAGGCCATCTTTTTCAGGCATGTTGGCCAACTGGCAAGTCAAAATCCCCTGTGTTTCTGATGTGATGCCACCTAAAATTAATGACACAAGTTCAATGTCACCAGCTTTTTCCGTGAAATGCATTTATTCCCCCACACTCCCACCTCTTCAATCCAGAACCTGATGTAGAGCTTGGTAGCCTGTGAATAACATAATTTACCGACATTTTCCAAATTACTTTAAATTACTGCTGTATTTAAAGACTTGCTTCTGCAGTAAGAGATCTGTAAGTTCTTTTTGTTTGTTTGTTTGTTTGTTTTAGAAAGCAGGATTTATTGAGAGGCCTGAAAAGTTCCCAAAGCAGGAGGGGACCCAAGGGACCCATTTTTTAAATGGTGTGCCAAACATGAAGAATAAAAAACAGTATTTTGTCAGTGATAGCTCCATTAGCAGAGTTTCTACTATATTAATGATTTTAAGCACAGTTCTTTCTGTGAAATATGCATTAAGATTATTCAATAGGAAGAAAAAGTAGAAAAATAACCTGGTGCAATAGAAATTCTATGAATTTGGGAAAGCTGTCCTCTTTCTAAGGAATACTGAAGCCATTTTAAAATGTCAAGACAAAAGCAAATATGACCAAATTTATCTTGAATTGGCCCAAATCTCATCTTGGCTTAAGCGTAGCTTCAAATGGCTGAGGAAAGACCCAAGGAGTTGTTAACATCCTTCCCCTTCAATTTTCAAAGAAGGGTCAGTTTTTATAGCTGCCCAGGAATCAGGAAATACTATTAAGCCAAAAGTTTAACTGACCCCAAAGGACCCATCACTACTCTGGCGTTTGTAGTTTGGTGTCTTTTCTCTAGGTTCTGGCCTCACCAGAAGAGCATGATTACCCGTTTTGTCCTCTTGCCATAAAAGGGGTAGTTGAGCTTCATTTTGCCTCCTCTCTTCCCCAGTCCTCCATTGCTGCTTGGTTTTAACATTCTGTCAGAGAACCATTGACACTACCTCTTTCAATTACTGCAAACTCATCTGGGAGATTGCTGGCTTATGCTGGACTTGGCCTTGTCTGTGTGGCAAGTACTAAAGCTCCTGAACTCAAGACAAAAAAAAAAAGAAGAAGCATGAGTAAACTAACAACAAAATGCATTCACCAAATTTCCTTTGCCCTTCCTTCTTCCCTCCCTTAAGTATGGTACTTTTGAAAGTCTAAATTTGATATTACAAATCAGTATAGCCTTCTTTTGCTGGTCTTGGAAAGGTAATAAAATCTTAAATAACGAGGTATGTTGCCTGGTGGGTCACAGTGACTCACACCTGTAGTCTCACCACTTTGGGAAGCCAAGGCAGGAAGGTTGCTTAAGTCTAGGAGTTTGAGAGAAAACAACATAGCAAAGCCACCCCCCTACAAAAACAAAATGTTAAAGTAGCCAGCCGTGATGGCTCATACCTATAATCCCAGCACTTTAGGAGGCAGAGGTGAGAGGATTGCCTGAGCCCAGGGGTTTGAGACCAGCCTGGGCAACTTTGCAAAACCTCATCTCTACAATAAATAAATAAAAAATAAAATAAAAAAAAAATTTAGCTGGGCATGGTGGCACATGCCTGTAGTTCTAGCTGAAAGGCTTAGGTGGAAGGATCTCCTGAGCTCCGCAGTTCAAGGCTGTGGTGGCTGTGAGTGTGCTACTGCACTCCAGCCTGGGCAACAGAGTGAAACTCCAACTCAAAAAAAAAAAAAAAAAAAAGTAGCCAGGCATGGTGGTGCACACTTGCAGTCCCAGCTACTTGGGAGGATAAAGCAGAAGGATCACCTGAGCCCAGGAGGTAGAGACTGTGGTGAGCCATAATCATTGTGATCATACCATTGCACTCCAGCCTGGGCGACAGAGTGAGAACTCACCTCATAAAACAAAAAAAGATATTTTGGTGTAGTGCTGGTCTCTGGGTATTGGTTTACATCCATCTCTGCTGTCTGGCATTTTCAACAAGGCGGACATACTGGGCGCTTGCTTGAAGCGCCAGGTGGCTGGAGTCCTTGGCGTGGCGGAGACTGCTACTGCCTGAGAACTGTCACAGTGAACAGTAGCGATTTGTTTATGTTTGTGTGTGTGTGTGTGTGTGTGTGTGTGTTAACAGTAAGCCAGCTGAGAGAGCAGAAATTAAACATGTTTTCTTAATGTAAGGAAAAGCAGTTTCTGTTTGATCACATGTTGGAGATAGATAACGTCCTTCTTCCCAAGCATCTTAGGGGAACACCTTGGGTATGTCACCATTTGATACTTACTGGCACTCCGCTTATTTTTATTTTTGCCTCCACCAGGATTGGCTGCTAAATAACTACACATGGTCATAAACTGGTTTTCATTAAGGGACCAAATCTCAAAGTGAAAAACACAGCATTGCGTTCCCTCACTGTGGCAGCAACAGCAGTGTCTCCTCCCATTCTCCCCCCACCCCAAAAGAACTGGAGATAAATGAATGGCAGAATAAATAATTTATGCTAATGAAATTACTGCAATTAGTAGTTCTACAATGACCCTTTTAAAAGCCACAGCTGTTAATGTCAGGAAGTGCTGTCACTACTGACCTTATCATAAGAGAAAGTGACAAATTGAGAATGCAGGGAAGACCAGTCATCAAAGAGGTCTGTTCTGGAACGATTAGAGTTTTCTGAAAAACAGTGTGAATTACAACCAGCTGCTCCCTGGCTCCCGAGTCTCCCATGCTGTGCCATTTTGTTAAGCCCCATAACAATAGTTATTTTGCCCCATTGAGACAAGTTGTCTCGGGCCACTTCCAGCTCTACCGGAAACCACTTCTTCCATCACTGATTTACAAATGAAATTGTCGTTAAAGAGAGCTTGCAGTGCCTCCAAGGAGCCTCCTCATAGGATCATGATTGGGCCAAGGCCAGGGTGTTGGTTTGTTTTTTTGTTTTTGTTTTTTTCCTGTGAGGAGATTGCTCTTTGCTGGGAAGTATTTATCTAGATTGTAGAAAGGTATGTGTGCACTTTTAGTTCCCATTACAACAAGAAGGACAGGAGTGAATTTCTGTTCATGTTTGTACTGAAGTCAGATTCTTTAAAAAATAAAGTCCCCAAGAGACTATGATTTATATGAAATTTACATAAACTTCCTTATAAATTTTTTCTTTTTCTTTTTTTTTTTTTGAGCCTTACTCTATTGCCTAGGCTGAAGTACAGAGGCACAATCACGGCTCACCACAGCCTTCACCTCCAGGGCTCAGGAGATTCTTCCTCCTCAGCCTCCCGAGTAGTTGGGACTACAGGCGTACACCACTATACCCAGTTAATTTATTAAATTTTTTTTGTAGAGATGAGGTCCTGCTGTGTTGCCCAGGCTGGTCTTGAACTTCTGGACTCAAGAAATCCTCTTATACTGACTTCCCTCAGTGCTGGGATTACAGGTGTGAGTCACTGCACCCAGCACAAATTTTTTGTTTCTGAGTCCACTATTTGGTAACATATATGTGTCTGGGGTGCACAAAGAACCAAGAATATTCAGGCTTTATATCACTTTTGCTTTAAAAAACACATTATTTTTTGGTTACCAGTGAGTGGATTTTTAATATGCAGTACAATTCAATACATACATATTTTAAAACCACTCAGGAATGTGCCATGCCGTTGGAAAGCTAGGTGCTTCAAGACACTGTTCAGGAGCAGTTGTTTTTCACCAGCAAGAACTGGCCTGTCTCTCCTCGCACCTCTGGTTGTAATATTAATGTTGCAGGTTTGAAACGTTTAACTGCATCACCAGTCACTTGTGCACAATTTTCCCAAAGATGTCTGAGCATTATTGACAACACTTTGGTAAATTATGTGTGACTTTCCTAAGAGTTGGTGTAGCTCATTTAATTCATATTAATTGATTTTTAGGCTTCCCTTGATTAATTGAACCTGGTTCATCTTGTACAGAATGCAATAAATAATCATTAAAATGAGGGAGATGTGACTCCACAAATTAAAAAGTTAACTACTTCAGAAGTCATAGAGGACAAGTGGAAAGAATGTGTAGTGGGGGGAGGGGGGTTCTCCAGTCAATCTGTGAAGGAGACTTGTTTGTTTTTGTGGGTTTTTTTTTTCCAAATGAGAATAGAAATTATCATGATATTTTTCCTCCCAGATGCAGTGATATTTATACCCTACCTGTCCAGTTTGTTCGTACATAGGTTCCAAAAATTGTAAGTTTCTAAGTTTCAGCTTTTTTTCCCAATGACTTTACAAGGTCACTGCTTCTTTTTGTCTAAAGTTTAGTTTGAAAGCAACAGCCAAAAAAATTTCTCAGCATAGTATGTCTCAATGTCTTCTCTTTTTCTTTCGTACTTGTAGATGAAAACCAAGTTGTGAAGAGCCATGCTAGTATTCTGTGTTGGCCATTAGGTTTGGTGTGTGGAACACAGAAAAATCCTTTGTTCTTCTCAGCAAGATGAGGGTTAGAAAAGCTGAGTGCTTTTTTGTAATCTCTCTAATCCTGTGGGAGATCTCTTAAAGATGAAGTAAATTTTTCTAAATTCTACTATAAACTGTACTGGCTTTTAGGGGGAAAATTATATAATTTTGTTGGGTTTTTTTTATTTTTTGAAATAGTATTTTTAACTTGAGAGGATTTCATATGAATAGCAATGTTTATGTTTTCAGCCGCTGTACAAAGATTCCATTAGCCTTTTCATGGCCCATGTTCACACCACTGTAAATGAAATGAGCACCAGGTATTACCAGAATGAGAGAAGACACAACTATACCACCCCAAAGAGTTTTCTAGAACAAATATCACTGTTCAAGAACCTGTTGAAGAAGAAGCAAAATGATGTATCTCAGAAGAAAGAGCACTTGATGAATGGCATCCAGAAGCTAAAAACCACTGCCTCTCAGGTATGACTAGAATGTGCTATTACTGAGTGAAATTTCTGCTCTTTAATAGAAAAATATATTTCCTTTTGATGCACTACTTAACCCATTTGTATAAAATGCTGACTGATAAAATGTACAGTTTGATGACACAGAGAGCACACTGTTACTGCTTTCCTAAGCCTAGGAAGGGATTGGTCAGTTATTCTGTAACAGCTGGTATGGGGAGGTACCGCTTCTTCCTGGCCTGACTCCATGCAGGGCAGTGTGGGGTGTTGGAGGGAGCAGACAGCAGATTATTCCCCTCTCTTATCTCTGTCTTCTTTTGTGTAGGGGGCCCATCATCATGAATTTTATCATCTAAGAATTGAACCAATATCCCTTTTGGTCTCAGATTCTCACCCTCCAATGAAGGCATCATTCCCTGCCTGAAGGCTGTAGCAAGGCCCCAAAGTAGAGTAGTTTTCTCCCACCTTGGTGACTGGTCTGCCCCTTTTATCCACCAGACAGAAGTGCCCAGTATTGCCTTTGTCCTGTCATAAGACCTCAGAGGACTGTGTCTCTAACTTGCAGGATTATATCAGGAGAAAATTTGCACAGGATGTTAATCATGTGTGAGTCTATACACATTCAACTCATTTCATTGTGTAAAAATAATAATAATAAGGGTGAGGTATGGTGACTCATGCCTTTAATCTCAGCACTTTGGGAGGCTGAGGTGGGAGGATCACTTGAGCCCTGGAGTTTAAGCATTTAAGACTAGCCTGGGCAACATAGCAAGGACCCATCTCTACAAATTTTTTTTTTAAATTAGCAGGGCATGGTGGTATGTGCCTGTCATCCCAGCTACTCAGAAGACTGAGACTAGAAGACCACTTGAGCCCAAAAGTGTATGGCCAGCAAGCCAGTGAGGTTGGGGTGTGAACCCAGATCTGTATTGCTCTAATGCTCAGGTGTCATCCATGGTACCATGCTGCCTCTCTATGACTGGTAATAAGAGATTAGAATGAGAGACTGGAGACTTTGGAGGGTAACCCAGTCTTTCTGTGAGCCAGCCAGGTCCTAGAGTTGTAAAAAAAATTCTCACTGGTGATCATCTCAAGACCAGACATAAGGCAGTCTTCTCAGAATATTGTCATCAGGTCAAACTCTCAGGTACTTTTCAAGGGTTTGGGCCAGTGTTTTCCCCAAGCACACTGGGTGGTCCATCTCTAGCTAGGCTATAAATAAGTCAAGGCCTCATGGGTGGGACATTCATTGGTACCTTTTCCCTCTGAAGGGCTCTCTGGCCTTCAATCATTCTGTTGGCAAAAACACCAGTTGCCTCTTTCCCACCAAGACTGGCCATTTGGTGAAACATTGTGATCTGTACTGAGCAGTGAGAAGACAGACTGAGGAGGTTTCCAGGATAGTTGGGATCAAGCGATGTGAAGAGTGGTTTCTGGGAAGACTTCAAAGAGCATAGCCATATTTGTGCCTCTTTTCCTTCCCTCTCAAAGAATGACTTTCTTAAATCTTCCTTTTTATATTACACCTTATCTTATTTTCTTCTCTTTGCCCCAATCCCTTCTCCCCTCACCTGTGTGTCCTCTTCCTTCTCACTTAAACGAAGACCCCTTTTTCAAGTAAAGATTTTCCTAGGGGTCCTGCAGAACTAAAAGAATATACAAGGAAGAAACTCTGTCTCAGAGCATTTATATCCCTCTGAATGATGTCCCTAAGTGAACCTATTGACTTTGCCCACAATCAGGACATGACAGTGTTGTCACCCAAACTGAGCTTTCAGTACTGGTAGGACAGCACTTGGCAAAGGAAAAAAAAAATGTCTCTGCCATGCTTCAAGAGTTATCTTCCCAAGTGACAGAGTTAAAGGCAAGTGGAGTGGAATCCTGAACCATTCCGGTGGTGTCAGCATCTCAGCCCTGGGGAAAAAGAGAGGGAGAGAGTCTGTGGTTTCTTAATCATTATCACAGATATGTACTGATGAACCAGGAGGATGTGGGAGAGGAAAAAGAAGGGAAAGCCAATGTACTGTGTCCACCAAGTCCCGAGCTGGGGAGGAGGAGGGGAGCACTCTCTATTCGCCCTCAGCTAAAAACAATAGGCAGAATTTCTGTGATGAAACAGGAAGTCTTGATTGAAAGACTGTAAGGGATTTTTTTCATTAGGTATTTGTGCATGGGATGCTCTTAATGTCCAAAGAGGTTGGAATATTTACTAGCTCCTTGATAATTTTAGAAATAAATGTATTATGAAATGGAAGTGTGGTCTCCTATGTGGAGAACTGGAGAGGTTTACAAGTGTAAGATCAGGTGTGGGGGAGGCATAATACCTCCGTATTGGAGCATGTGTTCCCTACAGGTCTATCTTAAGCAATTCCACAAGCAGAGTGTCCATTTGAAAACCTTAGCAGTGGTCCTGCTTTACAACAAAGCTGGAAACTCCCTGAATAGCCAAATAATCCCCTCTCTCTCTAGATGTCAGCTTAGGACATCACAGGTAGCTGCGGTGACCTTTCTTCATAGATAAAGCTTCACTTTCAAGACTTGAGTCACTTTGACTGTTTCAGAGCTAACAGCTTTCTTAGAAACTGAAATTAGGACTTGAAACAACAGTTTCCTCCTAGTCTCTTGGATGATACTCTTTAGTCTTTTGCTTTATTTTTATTTTGAAATAACTATAGATTCAAAGGACATTGCAAAACATAGTACAGCGAGGTCCAGGTCGCATCTTATAGCTCCAGTGGTAGTAGCATCATGCATAACTGTGGTACAATGTCACAGCCGGGAAAGTGGCATTGGTACAATCCACAGACCTTATGCACATTTCCAGTTTTACTTGTACTCATGTGTGTGTGTGTGTGTTAGGTTTCATGCAGTTAAAGCTGCATACTTATAGGAGTAGGTACTCACCACCACAATCAAGTCACATAACAGTTCCATCTACACAAAGACCTTTATGCTGCTATTGGATAACCACATTCACCTCCTTCCCTTCCTTCCCATCATCTGAATAATCCCTGGTCATCACTAATCTAGTTTCCATTTCTAGAATTTTGTCATTTCAAGAATGCTATATAAATGGAACCACACTGGATTTTTTCACACAGCATAATTCCCTACAGAGCTATCCAAGGTATTGGGTGTATCAATAATTTGTCACTTTTTATTGTTGAGTAGTGTTCCACAGTGCGAATGTACCATATTCAGTCATTGAAGACATCTGGGTTATTTCTGGGTTTTGGCTATTACAGATGTTACGAACATTCATGTATAGGTTTTTGTGTGAACATAAATTCATTTTCCTGGGATAAGGGACTGAAAGTGAAATTACTGGGCTGTATGGTAATTGTATGTTTACATTTATAAAAAACTGGCAAATTTTTTTCCATAATAGCTGTGACATTATATATTACTGCTAGTAATGTATGAGAGATCCAGTTCCTCAGCTTTTTTGCTAGAATTTGGTGTTATCACTAATTTTTATTTTAACCATTCTATAATAAATAGCCTACACACACTATTCTAAAATATGGTGTGTAATGATATGGTAGTTTTACCTGTATTTTCCTAATGGATGATTCTTTTGACTCTGACCAAACATTAAGACCAATTTCTATTGGCTAAAAAGAACAGAAAAGCAAATGTCACTGTGTAAAGTTACCCTGAATTCATAAAGAGGCTAAGCAATCAGTCTTAGCTTAAATTATAATAGTACAAATAGCAGCCATAGCAGTAATCGTGTGCTTTAAGTAGAGTGTAAATAAACTGTGTTGGGTGAGAATTACATGATTACTTGGATGTAATAATGGGATGTTCCACAAGATGAAACTACTGAAATGTCTTTAGCAATTGAGTCAAAATAGATGGTTATAACTGTTGTTTGCATCTCCGATTTTTAAAAACAGTAATGTTTATACTTCTGGAAAATAAATGGAATGGAGAGTTAATTATTATGATATATAAAAATGCTTTCAGATATTTCTGAGAACTGAGTCCTGTTTTTCTCTCTAGCACTTCTTTCTCCTTTAACTTACATGATTTTCAAACTTAGAGACCTAGTGGTACCTTCTAGATCTAATGAGATTCCAGTTTAAAAAATGAACAGAATCATCCTTTCTTAGTAGATGAATTTTTTGATGACTTAGAAGTCTGAGTCCCGTAAGAGCTGAATGAGGTTACTTAGTATTGGACAGATAAGAGATATATACTTTTATGACGCTCGCTGGGCTTTTGGCCACACCATACTGATACTCCACAAAGCACATGTAGTTAGCCCTTCTGAGTGGGTATTGAGTTGAGTGTTGGGTTAGCTGCACAATCATACACATAAATTAAACGTTATATGAGGTGAAAAAAATCAAGAGAGCTGTTTCGTATTTTATGGGAAGAGGTTGCATTTTGATATGCAAACAATTAATCTGCAGACAGACAAGGAATAGTCTTGTCTTCAACTTACCCGAAACCTCCAGCAATCTTCTATTGGAGAGTGTAAAGCATGCTTCTTCTAGTTTGTCACTGCGGCTATCTTCCTGTGACCTCTGCTGCCTTGAGCAGGAGCTGCCTAGGGATGTGGAGTGGCATGTGCTCAGATAGATACCTCTGTTGGAATTTCCCTGGAGGCACAGATTAAGTAAGGAAGAGAGATTTCTCTAGTTGGTACTGACACAAATTAATTCTGTTTCCCACAAAATTACGAGAAAACGTGGTTTGTTCATTCTCATGTGCAAAATAAAATGGGGCCACATTTTTGCAAGTGAAACTACAGTGAAATCAGGGTAGAAATACATGCAAGACACAAATTGTTAGGGAACCCTGAGTTCATTCTCAACAATAAGCTGTAACTGGAATTTATTGTTGCCAATGCAAGTGACGTCAGAAGAATAATTTTTTCCTTTAGGTGGGAAATCTAAAAACTAGACTCGCCTCTCAAGAAGCTGAGTTGCAGCTGAGAAATCATGATGCAGAAGCTCTGATCACAAAGATCGGGCTGCAGACGGAGAAAGTGAGCCAGGAAAAGGCCATCGCTGACGCTGAGGAGCAAAAGGTCAGGCTCATTCCGCCATTTGAGTGCTGAGCTATATTTAGCACAAAATAAACCTTTGTAGGTGAACAATTTTGAACAACTTCCTCTCCAGGGAGCATAAAGTCTAAGGAATTATTATAGTTACACATGTAACAGCATTTCACACCATGATTACCACTTGACCTTTCTTTACATTATGCATTTGCCCAACCTTTTAGCTCTTTTAATGATATGAAAGAACAATAAATACTGAGCTCATTCAAGCATATAATGGATGTGGATCTTGAACATCAGGCCTATTTGTAATACAGTAAAGGTCAGGAAGTCACCTCGGAGGTTTCTAAAGGTTTCCAGTTTTTAGGCAAATTGAACAACTCAATTGTTAACAAAGCCCATTCCTTCACTTTGCAAGATGGTTTTCGAATTTTGCATTTTAATAACACAACTGGAGTTTATTATTCAGCCCTAAGCTAAATTTATTCTTTTTGATTTGATGGAGGCCCTGGCATTCTGTATTATGTTTTATTGTTGGAAATAATTACTTTTACGATTCTATAGAGTCTGCTTTCTTTCTACTGAGGTTTCCATCAATTCTGAAATAAATACAACTCGTATTTTATCGTCGTCTTTTACTAAAACTTCAGCTACAAATGGAAGATAATGTATTTAATTTCCCAAAAAATAACATGGTAAAGAGATAATAAATATTTGTTTTAAAAATGGAATAAATATGTATCTGTGAGGTACAAGTTTCTCATTTTAGATAAAAAATTATGATCAGGACCTAATTAGTAAAAAAGTGTAAATCATTAACACTCTCATTGAATCAGAAACCATAATGCCATTAATCTTGTATTTTAGGATACCTGAAAATTTGGAGTTTTTCCTGTGGTGTTGCTAATCACTCATAAAGAACTGAGCTTTCTTTCTTCCTTTCTTCCTTTCTTTCTTCCTTCCTTCCTTCCTTTCTTTCTTTCTCTCTCTCTCTTTCTCTTTCTTTCTTCCTTCCTTCCTTCCTTCCTTTCTTCCTTCCTTCTTTCCTTCCTTCCTTCCTTCCTTCCTTTTTTTCTTATTTATCTTAAATATGTGGAGTACAATTCAGGGTTAGGTATACAAATGTTCATTATACAGAAAACCTTGTTGATGAGGTGTGACCCTGCCACTGGCAGTTTCCCACTACCGCCAATCCCTTTCTTACAGTATTATGATAGTTGTTCAAGGTCTGCTTATGAGTGAGAACATGTGATACTCCGTTCTTTGTTTCTGTGATAGATCACTCAGTATTATAGCCTCTGAGTCCATCCAAGTTGCTACAAAGTTCATAATTTGTCCTTTATGGCCATGTAGTATTCCATCGCGTATATGTACATTTTTTTTTTATTCCATTGTTTTTGATGGGCAGCACATCTGGTTCCATGTTTTTGCTATTGTGACTAATGCTGCAATAAACATGCATGTGCAGGTATCTTTTTCATAGAGTGATTTGAGTTCCTCTGGGTATAATCCCAACAGGGGGATTGCAGGGTCGAATGGAAGGTTGATTTTTAAATCTTTTAGGAATCACCAAACTGTTTTCCAAAGAGGTTCTAATAGTTTACACTCCCACCGACAGTGTAGAAGTGTTTCCTTTTCCCCACATCCTCTCCAGCATCTGTTGATTTTTGCGTTATTGATGATGACCATTCTGACTGGAGTAGGGTGGTATCTCAGTGTGGTTTTAATTTACATTTTTTTTGATGACTAGCGAGGTTGAGCATTTTTTAATGTACCTGTTGGCTGTTTGTATGTCTTCTGCTGAGAAGTGTCTATTCATATCTTTTACCACTTTGTAATGGGACTGTTAGTTTTTTTCTTTTTTGCACATTTCAGTTCCTTGTAGATCCTAGATGTTAGGCCTTTGTCAGACATACAGTTGGTAAATATTTTTTCCCAGTCTATGGGCTGTTTCCCTGCTCTCTCAATGGTATCTTTGGCTTTGCAGAAGCTTGTCAGTTTGATGCGGTTCCACTTGTCTATCTTATCTCTTATGGCATGGGCAGTTGGAGTTTTGATCAGGAATTGGTTGCCAGTTCCAATTTTCATAAGGGTATCTCCTGCAGTTTCCAAGATTCTTATAGTTTGAGGTTTTCTGTTTAGGTCTTTGATCCATTTAGAATTGATTTTTGTGTATGGCGATAAGTAGAGGTCTTATTTTAATCTTTTGCATATGGTCAGCCAGTTTTCCCGGCACCATTTACTGAATATGTTCTCCTCTCCCCAGTGGGTGGTGGTGGAGGCCTTGTTGAAGATGAGTTAGTTAAGAAATTGAGATTTGGCTTCTGGAATCTCTATCCTGTTCCATTGGTCTATATCTCTGTTCCTGTACCAATAACAGGCTGTTTTGATTATTGTAGCTTTGTAATAAAACTTAAAGTATGGGAGCATGATGTCTCCTGCTTTTTTGTTTTTGTTTTTGTTTTTTGCTGAGGATTGTTTTGGTTATTTGTGGTTGTTCATGTTTCCATAGTAATTCCTGTATTGCCCTTTCCAGATCTGAGAAAAATGCTGCCGGTAATGTAGTGGGTATTTTGTTAAATCTGTAGATTGCCTTGATTAGGATGGATATTTTAACAATGCTGATTCTTCCAATTCATGAGCATGAAATATTTTTCCATTTGTTTGTGTCATCTTTGATTTATTTGAGCAGTGTTTTGTAGTTTTCATTGTAATGATCTTTGACTTCTCTGGTCGGGAAGATGCCAAGGTATTTCATTTTTTTGTAGCTATTGTGAAGGGGATTGTGCTTTTTATTTGGGTTTCTGTTTGTTTATTGTTGGTGTATAGGAATGCGACTGACTTCTGCACACTTATTTCATACCCTGAGACTTTGCCAAAGTTCTTTATTAGTGAAAAGAGCTTTTTGACAAATTCTCTTGGATTTTCAAGGTATAGAATCATGTCGTCTGCAAAGAGGGATAACTTAACTTCCTCTTTTCCTATTTGGATACCCCTGATCGCCTTCTCTTTTCTGATTGCTCTAGCTAGGACTTCCAATACTATGTTGAACAGTAGAGGTGAGAGTGGGTATCCTTATCTTGTCCCAGTTTTCAGGGGAAATGGTTCCAACTTCTGTCTGTTTAGCAGTTGCTGGCTGTGAGTTCCTTGTAAATGACTCTTACTATTTTGTGCTATGTTCCGTCTATGCCTAGATGTAAGAGGATTTTTATCAAGCAGCATTGCTGGATTTTATCAAAAGTTTTTTCCACATCTAATGATATAATCATGTGGTTTTTGTCTTTATATCTATTGATGTATTTAATTATGTTTATGGTCTTGCGAATGTTGGACCAGCCCTGCACCCTGGTGATAAAACCTATTTGGTCATGGTGGATACTTTTTGAGATGTCTTGTTGAATCTGGTTTGCTAGAATCTTGTTGAACATTTTAGCATCTATGTTCATCAAGGATTCTGGCCTGTAGTTCTCTTTCTGTGTTGAATCTTTACCTAGTTTGGGTATCAATGTGATGTTAGCTTCATAAAATGATTTGTGGAGAATTCCATCTTTCTTGATTGCCTGGAATATTTTCAGTAGGATTGGTATCAGCTCCTCTTTGTATGTTTTGTAGAATTCTGCTGGAAAGCCATCTGGTCTGGGACTTTTTTTGTAGTAGTTTTCTTGTGACATAGTCAATTTCCTGGATTGTTATTGGTCTGTTTAGGGTTTCGATTTCTTCTTGTTTCAACCTGGAGAGGTTGTGTGATGTTAAAAAGTCCTGGCTGGGCTCCATGGCTCAGCCTGTAATCCCAGCACTTTGGGAGGTTGAAGCAAATGAATCGCCTGTGCCATCTGGTTTGAGACCAGCCCAGGCAATTTGACACAACCTCAACTCTACAATTAAAAAAAAAATCAACCAGGCATGGTAGCACATGCCTGTAGTTCTGGCTACTTGGAAGGCTGATGCAGAAGGATCACCAGAGCTTTGATGCAGGTTGATGCTGGGGTGGCCATGAGTGTGCCACTGCACTCCAGTGAGACCCGAACTCAAAAAAAAAAAAAAAAGGGACAGAAAATCCTCCATTTCACTTAGGTTTTTGAGTTTGTTTCCATACAGGTGTACCTAGTAATCTCTGATAACCTTTTGTATTTCTTCGAGGTCAGTTGTAACTTCATCTTTTGCATTTGTGATTGTGTTTATTGGGCTTTTTCTTCGTCAGTCTAGCTAAGGGTCCATCAATCTTATTTATCCTTTCAAAAAACCAGCTTTTGGTTTCATTGATATTTTGTATTATATTTTTGTCTTCTATGTCCTGAATTTGGGCTTTTATTTTGGTGATCTGGCTTCTTCTGCTGAAGTTAGGGTTTTGGTGATCTTGCTTTTCCAGCTTCCTCAGGTGATTTGTTAAGCTGTTAACTTGTGATTTTTCCATTTTCTTCATGTGTGTTCATAGAGATATGAATTCCCCTCTTATCACTGCTTTCATGGCATCCCAGAGATTTTGGTAAGAAGTTTCTTCATTTTCATTTGTTTCCAGGTATCTTTTAATCTCTGTTTTTTTCCGTGTTGACCCAGAAGTTGTTCAGCATCATGCTGTTTAGTGTCCATATCTTTGTGGGTTTGGGGGGAACTTTGTTGGTGTTGATATTTATTTTTATTCCACTGTGATCTGAGAAGGTGTGTGGCAGTATTTCAATCTTATGGAATTTGTTTATGCTTCATTTATGGCCAAGGATGTGATCAATCTTACAGTAAGTTCCATGTGGTTATGAGTAGAATGTATATTCCATGGTTGTTGGGTGGAGCGTTCTGTAGGTATCGATGAAGACCATTTGGTCAAATGTCACATTGAGGTTCCAGATGTCCTTGTTGACTTTTTGTCTTGATGATCTGTCTAGGGTTGTTAGTGGGGTGTTTAAGTCCCCAGCTGTGATAGTGTTAGAGTCAATATCTTTTTTTAGTTTACCTAGAAGTTGCTTTATGAAAGTTGGTGCTCCTATGTTGGGTGCATAAGTGTTTAGGATGGATATTTCCTGTTGATGGAT